AAAAAGTAGAGTCGGAATTGTAATGCTCTCGCCCCCAAGGATTTGTTTTTTATCGAAAAAAAGTATATCCCTATTTCTTTAATTTAAATCAAAAATTCAAAGAAATTTTTAGAGGTCGCTCAAATATTATGTATTTTTGTATGGGAAAAAAACTTTTGTTGGAAATGGTATAGAATTCTTGAAAATCAAAATTTTTTGATCGAAAAACTCTGGTTCTCTACGGGATACTTTCAATAATAATACCCAGTTGTTTATTTAACCATTTTTTAATACTAACCATTTTTTATTTTATTGGTCCGCCCATTGCATTTTTCGGGATTTTTGTGGGTTCTTGGCGGACCTATAAATTATAGTTGCGATGAGAAAATTATTAAATAAACAATTGGGAGTTTTTTTTTGACAATCTCCTGCAGATAAAAAGCGCGTTCCGATAGAAAAATATTGATTCTTAACAATTCTATACGTTTTCTACGAAAAGTGGTTTTACGCCATATAAAATACATGGAAAAATTTAGGTGCTTTGAGCGACTTCTAAATATTTTTTGATTTCAAAATAAAAAATAGGGATATATTTTTTTCGGTATAGAACAATCCTAACAATGGTTGGGCATTAGGGTCCAAAAAAAGTAAAGGCAGAATTTGAATGCTCTGAATGCTCTCACCCCTAGGATTGTTTCATACCGAAAGGAATTATACACTTCTTTTTTTATTTCGAAATCAAAAAATATTTAGACGTCGCTCAACAAGCTCAAAGTTTTCTATGTATTTTATATGTGGAAAAACCATTTTTTTTATCGGAAAATTTTGGGTCTTTTCAGGACACTTCCAATAATAATACCCAATTATTCATTTGACCAATTTTTAACATTATCTTTTTTTATAGGTCCCCCAAAAAATGCAATGGATGCGCCCATTAATAATTATAAAATAAAAAATTGGATACTATTCCCTGAAGTCTTTTGAAAAGAAGAAACGTTTTCCGATCGAAAAATATTGACTTTCAAGAGTTCTATACCATTTCCACAAAAAATTGTTTTTCTCCATAAAAAATATGTGAACAACCTTGAGCCCTTTGAGCGACCTCTAAATATTTTTTGATTTCCAAATAAAAAACCAGGGGTATATTTCGTTACCTTAATTCACAGGGGCCCTAACCAACACTGAGTTTGTCACAGACTTTTGAGTATAAGTACTAAAAAGAACGGAGTTGCATACCAGTTTTTAAAAAGCCCTACCTTTTTTTGATACTCTTTTTATATTAAATGTTTTTTGCTTCTCCTGTGAAATAAAAAAAATTGTTGGTTAGAGCCTTTGTGAATTAATTTAACGACTGTACATTTCACGTGCATTTTATGTGCTTCTTACATATATATATATATATATGTATGAACATAGCTGCACATTAACTGTGTACATATGTATATAGAACTATATACATGAGATTGCATTCATAGAATCGGTTTTGAATTATAAATAACTCAATATAGTGTTTATGCACTTATCGCTACCTAAAGGTGAAAAGGTGCCAAGTCCTTTTTTTTCAAAATTTAGTTTTAGCTGCGTAATGACAGATAATGCGAAACTACATCGATTTTTCGTCTTTCCTGAATATTTTCTAAAAGTGGACTTGGCACCTTTTTACCTTTAGGTAACGAAATTTAAGTATATAATTATATCATACATACGTATTTTGTATATATATATATATATGTAGCTATGTAAATATATTCGCGTTAGTACTTCTCAACTCATTTGCATATTATAATATCTCCATAGAGACTATTAAAAATACATACCAGAAAGTACCAAATGAAGCGAATTATATTTAGATAAACACATTAAACTACTCGTACTTATCGAAATGGAGGTAAAACTGATTGTTATTGAAAGTAATAAAAAATTGTTTGAAGTTTATTCTCCCGTATGAAGATTTGAATTTTTTCCATATACTCATATGAAAAAGAGATAATGCCAGTACCTTTAACAAATTAGTTCTAAACAAATATTTAAAAAATATATATGTATATAAAATCTCAGGTATACTGTCTTTATTTAAAGCTTAGTAAACCATTTAGTTTTAAGAGATTTTCATATTATCCTATTACTTATCTCACATTGCTTAGTTCATTTTGCATCGCAAAAAAACTAAGTTTTGTTTCATCAAAATTTTAAACTTTTACACTTAACAGGATTTGCTTGAATTGCTCGCAAATTTGTCTTAGGTCTTTTTTGTTGTATTATTAGAAACTTAGTGGTTGTTTGCACACAATTTGGCTTAAATGTTAACACTTTGCTATACCTAACCTAGGTCGATGAATGTACATATGTAAAACTAGCTTTATGTTTACTTTTGGAATGGGCCCTAATGTTTGGAATTCAAGCATTCATTAAATTTGTTGCTGTAACATAGTTTGGAGTATTTCATTGCATAGTTGTTTTTACATTACATACATATGAATTTATTTATAACTAGTAAATGCCTGGCTTGCTTCGCGACGCCTGATAAAAAAATTTGCGTTGACCAATACAAAACAAGTTCGGAAATCAAAAACAGCTTGTAAAGTAAAAATGATTAGTTTAATTTAAAACAACTGAAGAGCAGAATCTTCCGTACCAATAGGCCAAGGATAATAGCCCTGAAACTATGAGCTCTGATTTCACCTGGAAGATATCTGCATGTCCCAGCAATGGGTTGTGCGCTGGGTTTGAAACCAGTATTCCATTTTGGAACCATTCCATCTATTAGAATTTTGACATCATCCTCACTTTTTGCAAAAAGAAGTTAAAAATTAAAGTTTATGTGCAAAATATAAATAAACACTAAAAGTCTGCTAAAATTTATGGAATGTATAATAGAAAATTTTTTATTTCATTATCCAGAACTAGTGAATAGCCTATAAGCTCTATAAGGCTATAAGAATAGCCTACTCTATAAGTAGACGTCATCCAAAAGTTTTGAAGAAAATCGCTTATCTATTTTGTAAAAATTTGGGACCATCTTATACGAGCATTGTCGGTAAAATGTTAGTCTGATGAATGATTAAAAATTGGCGAATAAATAATTATAAAAATTTATTAAGCGATCGCTGTGGTGTACTGGTTAGAAGTGCCACACTACCATTCCGCACGGTGAGGGTTCGAGCCCAGTTCCGGCCAACGTAAAAAAAGAAAAATAATGTTGTAATAGGGGTCGGCCCCCGGCAGAGTCGGCGCAAAACTGTAGGTCCCTCCCCTTCGTGCGACAACAACAAGTCGCATGCCACAATTGGATTCTAAAAAATTCGAGTAAAAAGTTGAAAAGTGTGAACTCATGCCACTCTCACCTGACGTAGTGAAAAAATGTATCGTTTAAATATTGTATATACAAAATTTGCGTTTTTTAATGGAATTATGCCAGTGCGGGAAGTTTCACCGAAAATGGAGAATTTCGCGGTGGCCAACGGGAAGATAGGCAAAATGAGTTGGCTAAGCGCCAAATCTATTATTATTATTATTAATCATCGATACAATTTTAAATTACATAAACCCAGTTACACGACTTTTTTGTATCCGACGCTTCCAGAAATAAAATAAGAGCTGTTTTGATTAATATTACTTAAACTGGAAACTGTCGAAAATAAGCGCGTTTGTGTACGGAAATTTTATAACCCATTTAGTTCCCAAATTGTCAGTTTGCAACAGATCAACAATAAAAATGCACATCAAATTGCTAAGAATGATGAAGGAAATCGATTCAGATATGCCTTCTTAACTGGCCGTGCGTACACAAGACAAGCAAAAGTTAATTAAAGAGCTATTCAAGTGTTATATAACTACCAGCGGGAAGCGGGGGTTATTTGGTTTGCTTATTTTTGATGACAAGGGGCAATATTTTTTTAAATTTTAATTACACACGCAGAAAAATTTTCCTGCAATCTCGCTAACAAGTGAAGCTGCACTTCCCTCTCGTTTCGAATTTTTTAAAGCGTTTTTTAAGCTATTTTCGTGGTTTAACACTTCTTGGGGCACTTGGTGTTGTAAAAAAAATATGCGCAATTCGATCCCTAACTATATTTTTCTGTAAATAACGTCCGCTTGCTTTAAATTTGTAAAATTACTATTATTTTTTTACATTGTTTACATCTGTCATTTGTTACAAAGGAAGCAAAGTCTAAGAGTCCATCCATCCATACATGTTTATCGATGTTTGTGGTGGATGTTCTCGACATCGATTTTTTTAAATGTGATATATCGACATCGAAAATATCGATGCTTTTTCCCTCGATATCGCAACCCTACTTACGGAAGGTTTTAAGACCAGGGCGAACTCTTGTTAGAACAACAATGACGAACTAGTGACTAATGCCCAGAACTTACTTAAATTATGGTATCAGCACTGAAAGCTGTGAGGAAGATAAACCCGAGCCCCCAGTCAATGATGACGGAGTTGACGAGCTACGAATAGCAATAACACGGATGAACAACAACAAAGCTGCTGGTGCTGATAGTCTGCCAGCTTAGCTATTGAAATACGGTGCCGAGGAGCTGATAAGGTGCATGCATCAATTTCTATGCAGAATATATTCTGTGAAAGACTGAAGCCCACCGTCAATGAACTTATCAGTGTGGCTTTAGGGCTGGAAAATGTATCATATACCAGGTATTCACAATACACCAAGTCCTGGAAAAGACCCGCGAGAAAAGGATCTACATCATCTATTTGTGTATTTCAAAGCCGCTTTCGGCAGCACGAAGAGAAGTTGTCTTTATGCCGCGATGTCTGAATTTGGCATCCCCGTGAACCTGATACGGCTGTATAAAATGACGCTGAGCAATACGGTGGTATTNACGGTGGTATTCAGCTTCGTCAGAATTGAGAACGACTTCTCAAGCAAACAGTCAACGCATTGGCGCCTTGGCACCCATGTCACTGTTGACAGTTATAATTTCGAGAAAGTGGAGAATCTCGTATATTTGGGAACTAGAATTAATACCGCTAATAATGTCAGAATCACTCTTGCCAACAAGTGATACTTTGGACTGAGTAGGCAATTCAGAAGGAAAGTCCTCTCTCGACGTACGAACAACACTCTCTATAAGCCATTCATCATGCCTGTGCTGGTATATGACAACATCCGATGAGGTGGCACTTGGATTATTCGAGAACAGCTTTACAACGACATAGACATAATGCAGCGAATTACAATATAGCAGCTCTGCTGGCTTGGCCATGTCGTTCGAATGGACACCGACACTCCAACTTTGAAAGTATTTAACTGGGAACCCGCTGGTGGTTGCGATGAAAAGACCAGGTGGAGAAGGACTTGATTTCACTTGGTATTTCCAAGTGGCGTCAGTTGGCACAGAAGAGAAACGACTGGCGTGCTTTGTTGAAGTCGGCAGCTCTGATTTTTTTTTCCAAAACTATTTTCGCCATTTGGCGAATTCCAAAATAATTATAGACCAATGGTTTATTCGGAAAGTTTGATGGCATACGCGCATATAAAAAAAAAATGATCCGCCCTAATATACAAACATAAGTATAAATCAAGACGTAAAAAAATCAATAATAACGAAAACCCTTTAATTTCCTTTGTCTTTATAAAATGCATCATTTATAATTCGCCTCTGTAATCATTGCCTTCAATTTTCAGATGGACGTATAGCTTCTATTCTACCTCTCGCAGCGCTTCTTACCGGCACTTTGTTCACCGTAGGCATTGCGGTACTCTTCGTGGTGGTTATTGCCGTGCGCAAGCGACGCTGTCAGGGTGGGCGAAATCTTTGCGACGATAAGGATAAGCATTTAGGTAAATTACTCTGGCGTGCATACACACATTTTTGCGATAATAAATTTAAATATATAAAGGACAAACATAATAAAAACTTTACGCATCGAAATCGACTGCTAAAACACCTTTAGTTGCGATAACTAGCATTATTATTTTTTTGTTAAATAAGTTTCTCTAAAAACAGTGCCTTTGTGTTTATTTAACATTTGTTGACCCACTTGGTGTGTTCTCTTTTGCCTTCTACCAAACCGTTTAGGTATGGATGTTACAGTGACTGCACCACTGGAGACCGGCGCTGGCCATCAACGTTTAGTTGTTGCTTACACACTTAAGCAGGGCATCGAAAAGCAACCGGATATTTTGAATGCGCAAAAGAGTACAACCGGAAATGAGACATCATCACCGCTTGGCAATAGGCCGGGTGGTTTGTACCTGGGCGGAAGTGGTCCTGCGGGTAGTAATTGTGGCGTTGCTGGCAATAAATCAAATTTTACCACTGTGGCGAGCACAAATGCAACGGCGGACTATGTAAGTGCAGCATGTATAAACTGATGTATTTTTATTCTTGTAAATTGGAAAATAAATATTTTGAATTTTCTTGCTATCAACAGTCAGAACTATAGAAATTGGAAAGTAGGGAGACTCAGTTTTTTATTTTGAAATTGGTTAACAATCATGCCGCCGAGACTTTAAAGTTTTCCATACAAGTGAATCGCTCTAAAATCGTTAAAAATTCAAATTTTTTGATCGAGTAAAAATACTTCACTTTATAAATCTTCCAGCTATTTTTGTAAAAATTTAACTCTAAAATATTACTTACTAATTTTTATTCGAAACGTGCGTGAATACATGAAATAACTAATATTTGTGAATAAGAGATGAGATTTATCGATTATGAAAAGTATTTAGTAAAATTTTAAAGTTAAAAATGAAATATTGCTTAACTGCTTGACGCTGTGTTAGGGTAATATTTTTCCATTAAAAAGTTTTTATTTTCAATGATTTTATAGCAATTCTACTAATACATGTATTTTCCTCATAAAATAAATATATGAAAAGCTTCATAGCACAGTGCACAGTGGAAAATTATAGATTGCATGTTTATAGATGCGGATAATAATTAAAACCCTGCCTTTTAATTCGGTGCTAAAAATCTTTTTTAAAAGTTTTTAAAAAAATATATTCCATTCGATTAAAAATTTGACACATCCAGCCTTTTTTGAAGAAAATCAATAGTTAATTTCCCTTTACGTGGCGATTTCAAAATAAAATAAAAATATTTTGGGATGATTTTTAATATTTTTTTTCCAGGCTATACTAGGCAGATACAAAAGCCAACGCCATAACTTAATCATTTGAAAGTTGCACTTTTTGTATTGAAATTTTGCAGGATGCTTATTTGACATTTTTCTAAAAATTCCAAGCAAAAATATTTCGGTGAGATTTCTTTTTTTTTATTATGCATTTTTTTTAGCTTTGGGATAACCTTTAAGTTGTTTTCAACTAACTTTTATTATATAACATTAATTAGCAGAAACAGAAGAATCAATTTTCTTCAAAATTGCTACTTTCTCTGCACTCTTCACTAAAAAAAAATTTAAATTAACAAATAAAATTTAAAAATCGATTTCAAACAAGTCTATTCTAAACAATCAAATCGGTAAATATCTGTGGCCTATAGCCAATATTGATATTACAGTTCAGTTTAAGGCCACTGAGCACCGACCTGAAAAAATTTAGAAATAAAAGGTCGGGAGTGGACTAATTGCTCAACATTTACATTTAACAAAAATAGGCCACATTGCACAAGATATTCCTTTATTTATTATTAGTAGATGAAATAGTGATTTTTACTCAAGTTTACACTAATATATTTCAGGATACCGCCGCAATCAGTTACAACGATCCGGGCAGCACAAACGATCCTCTCAACAGTCCACCTTCACAATCAAGCACCTTAAAATTGGGCTCGGAAGTGCGTAAGAACTATCAAAGTCCACAGCAACCACTACTCTATGACGCTTTGCCGCTGAGCCGTCACGACATCTCGCGATACGACCCGCTTGGCCTCAACTACGGCGGCAGCAATAGTACACTAAATTCTGCAGGTAGTGCCGGTACCGCATCCAATAATATAAACAATACACCAACGGCTGGAACGACGTCCCATTCTTTAATGCAGAATAATCTGAGTAATGGACCTTACGTCAATCATCATACACTGCCGCATCCATCTGTCACAGCAGCAAATTCCAGTCTACATCACTTGCAACAACAACAACAACAGCAGCAACAACATCAATCAACATTGCCAGCTGATGAGCAACTATCCATTGCCGACTATCTGGCAGCAAGCAGTCTAATCGATTATAATTTAAGCAAAGCGGCTGCGGGCTTGCCACCCAGTATGACAGGTGGCGGAGGTGGCAGTGCTCACATGACATTGCCCAAAGGTTTGGGCATAGGCTCAATACTGGGTATAGGCGGTAGCAATGGCACGCTATTAACGCAAAGTTCGCACACAGCGAACACACATACACCAACAGCAACGATCACACAAAAAGCGAACGCAAATCGGAATCATATTATTACGGACACATTACCGGGTCCGGAGAGTTGTGTTTAAAATGTGTAGAGTTAAAGAGAAANAAAAAAAAACATGGAAGGAAACTTACTGAAAATACTAATAAGTAACTAATACATACCTACATATTTGGCGACGAAAATAAATGAAAAGTTAGAGCGATAACTATCAATATTTTCGCTGAGTAAAAACAAAGACTGGTGCAAAACAAATACATACATACTACTCATGTAGTTGAAAATTCTTGAAAAGCAGCGTACATATACTGTATTGTACAAATGCACAACTGCACACAATCCAGTGCAATTGTTTTGTAAGTCTAAATAAACTATAGAAATAAAGTAGAGTGTATAATTTAGGAGAATGCGAAATGATGGTAACAAATAAAACAAGTAAGAAAGTCTAAGTTCGGGCGGAGCCGAACATAAAAAAACACTTAACAAAACAACTAATTTGAGAGGGTGGATGAGTGTGAATATTATTTTCAAAAACTATTTTTTTTCCCAAAAAGTTTGTATTTGAAAAATTAAAAAAAAAATTTAAAAATTTTTATTTTCATGTGTGTATGTGTGATTTTTTTCAAATTTTTCACACGCGCCATTCTCCAGATATTTGGAAAACTGTTATGTAAATCAATTTGTTTTTGTTTTTGTACTCGAAAGTTTTTAGAAATGTATTTATCCAGCTCAAATTTCATATTTATTTATTATTTATTTTTCAAATCAAACACATGAAGTGCTAAGCCCGTACATTTGGTATGGAACGCCCCACATATGTATGTATGTGCTTACTCCTATGAGTTTAAAAGATTTCCCCTCTTCAATACGTTTCTGGAAAGGAAATAGTTAGTATCGATGCTCTTCTCGCGGTTCATACCATACCTATGAAGGATTAACCAATACAAAACTGCACCAATAAGACAAAATCAGTTCCTTAAAGATATGTTCTTCCTTTCACACAAAACTTTCAATAAGACCCTATATATGACTTTTGAGAATCTGATGCCGATGTAGCTGTAGCATACGACCAGGTCGTCTTTTGTGTCGTTTGTAGTTACCAGACATGCGTTAGATTGGGTTAAATAGGGTTAGGTTAGAGTTTAGTCTGAAGCCGCATTGTGATGCCCAGCTGGCCATTACACTTCCTTAAAGCATCTATGTAGATTTTCTAGCGAATCTTATGGGACCCTCTAATGGAATATTCCCTAAATTATTGAAGCTCTCAAAGAAGTGCAGCCTCTAAAGTTTGATGCGCTTTCTTCGGTAAGCGGGTCACCCGCAAAGTAGGTATTGGAAGGATTCTATCTTTTTTCTTTATCTCTACAGCTTCGGTAGAAATCCTAGCCTGGCAGTTATCTTCTAAACTTGTGAGCATAGGAATTGCTATGGAGGTTTTACGATTTTGATGCATCCATTCATCCTGCAATTTTCTGCGCAAGAGTTGATGTAAGCTTAAGTTAAATGAGAGGCCGCCAATCCTCTCTAATCGTCACTAATCGAATGTCGTTAAACATGTTATCAACCGATGAGTTTTTCCCTTGGAAACGTAAAAGTACCGTAAAAAATGTTGCAATGACTTCAAGTTTCTCTTTCAGTCGGACTAAATGCTAATATTGGTGTGTATGTAGATAACTCATACGCCATGACAAGTGAACAATTTATGCTGGTAGGTACATATACATTAAAGGCCTGCAAATGTTGAACTATAAAACATAGCGACATGTGTCGCATCATGCAAGTGCCAGTTCATGTCATGTCGCTCATACATGTTTGACTATGACATATGAAGGCACTGTCGAATAAATTGAAATCAAATCAGGTCGCACATATGAACATGTCAACACAAGCGACACATGCGACACATGCGACATAGGCAGCATTATTAATTACATTGTATATACGTGAAGAGATTTTTCAAGCTGCTATTATAATAAAATTCATAAAAAAATAGCATCGATTCCGTGAAAATGACCAGTTCATGCGAAATAAAATTAAATATTGTNTAAAATTAAATATTGAAAGTGGCATATATTCTACCGCTAAAAAATGTTCAAAAAGCGAGTTATTTAACATATTTGAAGAAATAAAAAACAACGGTGAAGTCATTAAAAATTTTATGTTTTGCTCGCGGTGTTAAAATGTTTATAAATTCAACTATAAGTGTACCTCAAATCTTTTGCGTCACAATTGCTTCATAAAGTACAAATCATCGAAAGATAAACCATTAGCAAAAGTAGAGCCAAACAGCGAGCTGAAAAAAAAGTGTACCCACTTAATGGTTCAGTGGGTAGTTGGTAATTGTAGACGTTTTACTGTTGTTAACGACGAAGGACTTTTAAATCTTGTTCAGTTTTGTGTTTACACTGGCCACGAGTTCGGCAACAATTTAGATGTGAGAGCTCTTTTTCCACACCCTACAACTGTGTCCAGAAATATTGGAAGCCTTTATAAAGATCAGCACAAAATTCTTAAAGAAGAATTGTGTTCTATTAAAGAAATCGGTTTCAGTATAACCTGCGATTTATGGAGCGACAATTATTTAAGGACATCATATATTGGAGCTACTGTTCACTACATAAAATCTGGAATCATAGTAAACAAAGTTCTTGGAATGATCGGAATGGGAAGTGACAGAAATACCGGTACGTTTTTTAGCACGATTATAGACTTCATACCATTAAATTTTTTGATAAAATCATTATAGGTATTAATATTAGAAATAAAATTGAAAGTATACTTAAGGAATTCGACTGTGAATTTAATGAAAGGATCAGAGTAGTAGACAGAGGATCAAATATGCGAGCGGCTTTTCGTTTTGATGAAAATATTTTCTGCATCAACCACCTGATAAATAATGTGCTTGAAAGAGCAATATCAGATACAGCCGAAGTCAACGCAATCGTAGGATCTTGCACCAAGCTAGTTAAATATTTCAAGAAGTCAGGTGTTAATAGTTCTCTAAACACCACGTTAAAAAGCTATACGCCAACACGATGGAACACTGTTTTCTATTTATTAAAATCGATACAATTAAACTGGGTCCATATAAAGCAGATACTTCAAGAAAAACAGGAGACTACTAAATTGACAAATATTAATATAGCAAATATTAATGAAATAATTGAGATTCTTAAACCATTTGAGGAAGTTTCGAAGCTTTTGGAAGGAGAAAAATATCCCACAATTCATCATGTTTATCCTCAAATAAGAAAACTTAAAAAAGTAGCCGTAATAAACGACGAAATTGATTCAGAAACTGTTAAAAAATTTAAGGAGAAAATTGTACATTATATCCAATCTGTGATTGATGAAAACATAAAGGACTTTCATAAAATTGCGCTCTTTTTATTTCCACCGGCGAACAAACTGCTATATTTTTCGGAGAGTGAGAAAAGAAGTATTCATGAACAATGCATAAAAATGTTAGAAACATACAAAAATACATCGGTTATCTTAGACACCACAATGAACTCTGTAAATTCTGAGGATGATCCTTTTAACGATTTTGTACAAGCTGTATTTGCACCCGAATACGATGACCAAGTGCACAATGAAATCGTGAGATATTAAAGTCAGACAATTTTATACCACAAAGAATTTCAACCACTGGAGTGGTGGAAAGCCCATAAAAACGAATATCCTTTGCTTTTCAAATTAAGTGGTTTTGTATTAGCGACACCAGCTAGCTCCGCTGCATCAGAAAGGCTCTTTTCAAAAGCTCGACATTTGCTATCTGAAAAAAGGTCAGTTCTCGGAAAAAACGCAATAAGTGTTAATCAAATTATGTTTTTGCACAGTAACTTCGATTTTAATGCATTGTATACTATAAATTCAAATGAGGAGTAAAGCAGGATTTTAACCGTTAATTGTTTTACTGGAAATGTGAATTGTTTCGTTAAGGTTATTTGAATTTGAATAAAAAAATGTTTTCTTTGTATTATATGGAGTATATAAAAAAGTTTAATTTCAGATTTCAAAGTTAGCTTTTTTAATCAATTATTTATTTGATTTTATATTAAACATTTATTAAAACCATACAAGGCAGAATGAAACAGTAATAAAAATATGCCGCAGAAATACAACAGCGAACAACAGCTTAGCTAAGTTGCAATGACATGCTACAACAGTATGTTTGATATGGAATGACATGGCACAACACATTGTTTGTATTGACATGACATAGCAATGCACGAAATTTTTGAAAACGATATTTTTACAGAAAATGTTGAACTTTGCAGTACTTTAATACATATTTAAAACATTATCCAAATAGGATCATAAATAAGATTTTTAGTAATAACTCAACTACAGCGCCAAGTGTCGGATTAAATCGTGAAACTAAACCATCCAGAGACCCACTCAAACACACAAAAAGTATCGTTAAAATCCGTACAACCATTTAGGAGGATTTCACTCACCAACACACCTACAAAAGAATTAAAAAATATATTCAAAGACACAACCCCTTTTCAAATAGCCCAAATTTTCTCCATGGGTATGGGCTTGATTTCAACTACATACATATCTGAATACTTTCAGAGATATGAAGTATAAAAATTCGATTTATATAGGAGGTGCCACGCCCCCCTTTCCAACAGCTGCCCTCTTTCTTCATGAGTATGCGATTGATTTCGCATATCTCCATACCAAGTTCGAGAACTCTACCATGAACACTTCCAAAAATAGGCAGTATGAAAAATTCGGTTTGTATGGAAGATGCCACGCCCCCTTTTCTAATAGTTCCACTTTTTCCTCAAGAGTTTATTGCGTATTACTCCGTACCAAGTTCAGAACTATACCATGAACACTTCCAGAGATATGCAATATGAAAAATTTGGTTTGTATGGAATATGCCACGCCCCCTTTTCCCAATAGTTCCACTTTTTCTCCAAGAGTATGCGATTTATTTCGTACATCTCCATACCAAGTTCCAGAACTCTACCATGAACACTTCCAGAGATACGTAGTGTGAAATGTTTGGTTTGTATGGGAGATGCCACACCCCTTTTTACAATAGCTTAAATTTTTCTCCAAGGGTATGCGATTGATTTCGTATATCTCCATACCAAGTTCCAGAACTCTACCATGCACACTTTCAGAGATATATAGCATGAGAAATTCGGTTTGTATGGGAAGTGCCCCGCCCCTTTACATATAGATTTTTGTTTAGCCTAAAACCATCCTTGGGACACGTGCGGCAGGTGGCAGTTTCAAAAAAATCGAACAGATCGGTCCCTGGTCCACTTCTCGGAAAAAATGGATCATATATGCTAAAAAGCTACCTACGTACGGAATTTCAAGCAAATCGGACCGTAAATACAATTTTTTCGAATAGATCGGTCCCTGGTCCACTTCTCGGAAAAAATGGAATTTTAAGCAAATCGGAT